GTGAAATGAACATACCAAATAAATAAAAGACGGATGGCCATCCACCACCCACGCCATACTGTATGAGGAAACCACTGGTGGGCATGGTGACTATGGTGCCCACGTGCTGACCAATTGTGCATATAGAGAGCAATCGACTCCTTTCTTGAGTGGGGGCCCATCTCGAGAACATTGCATACATAGAGGCTGAATTCACACCCTATAAAATATCAATTGAACTCCTGAAGTTAACTGTGTATATATATATAAACACAAAACATTAATTTTGTTATTTTTATTTTTTATAACCAGTTTCCTATACAGATAAGCAGGAAGAAGGGAACTGACCTGAGCAGCGCCTATGATGACCCTGAGGGCCACCATAACAGCGACACCCCAGTCAGCTGCCATAGGTGTAATAAGGGTAAGAAGTGAAGTGAAGAAGATGCCTCCTCCCAGGAGCCATTTTGCTCCCAGGAGCTCGGATAATCTTCCTCCCAGTAGAGGAGTGAAAACGTAACCGTAGTAGAAGGCACCAAGTATAACACCTTGAGTAGATGGACTCCATTGGTATTGGCCCTAAAATTCACACAAGAAACAATTTCTCAAGTTAAATAAGTCTTAATAATAAAAATCTTAAGAAGGAAAAATATTTTTAAATTGATTATTTATATCCGGTTTTTATAAAACTTCACCTTTGTTGATATTTTTTTTAACAGGATATCTAAAAATAAAAGTGTCTTAAGATTCTAAGAAATTGCAAAATAATAATAACAATAATAATAAACGAATAAATAAAAATAAACAATTAAATAAATAAGAGCAAAAAATGCTCATATTTTTATATTTAGTATAAAATAAAACAATAAAAAAAAATGAAATGGGGAAAAAAAAAAAAAAAAAAAAAAACGNAAAAAAAAAAAAAAAAAAAAAAAAAAAAAAAAAAAAAAAAAAAAAAAACGAATGAAATGAAACACAAAATATTATTGATAATGATTTAAGCGTTAAAGCGATCGTTTGACTTATTATTGCCATTCTTAATAAGAAGAATATTTCGATTCACTTTTTTTTTAGCTATGATTCATTTAAAGACAGTTTTTTATACATAATTATTTGTTGGCAGCAATATTGTGAAAATATGTAGTTCAATCGTCTTTTGATAGATGGCGCTACATGTTCTTTACAAATTGGCAAGCCACATGAAAAAGGACGCAATGAGTAGTTATAGGAATGAATTGACTTCACATCAAGCTGATTTGAGTGGTAAAATCGAGCCTACATTCGAAGACAAAGCTCGGGGGGTCAAAAATGTTTCAAATCGTCAAATCGATTTTTAATTATACACATATTATACATAATTATACATATATTACACATAATTATACATAAATTATACATAATTATACATATATTATACATAATTATACATATATTACACATAATTATACATATATTATACATAATTATACACATATTATACATAATTATACACATATTATACATAATTATACATATATTACCCATAATTATACATATATTATACATAATTATACATATATTATACATAATTATAAATATGTATGTATAGAATTAATGCATAAAA